GGGCAACAGCATACCAGGGCTGCTCAGCACCACAAAACAGTGGGGGAGACAGTCGCAGCTAGGCCCATGTCCCGGTGAATGAAGGGGGGAGGCAGAGCTCAATGATTTTTTTTTTCCCATGATTAAAAAATGGAAAATCAAGTGCCAAAATATAGGTATTTAGAATTTATTGTATCATAATGATTGAGGCGGTACTGGTAGACTTCCAAATCCCTTCAAAATTGTGAATATATCAGTAAAACCATTGTGTTCAACTGATACCTCTCTATATAGTGGCATTTCATTTTAATCACAGAAGAACACAGATTTGGGGGTGTTTATCAGAGTATTTTGGATTTTTAACAGAGAAAACCACGATTAGTGGCGGGAGAGGGCTTCTACAGAATAACTCACAAGTTCATTTTGTCTTAGAATGCCTCAGTCATGCTTTTTAGTTTCACTGCTGTGCCAGACCTTTTCTTGTGGATAGAGTCAAGCTGTTGCAGAATAGGATATAGTGCTGTCAGTTAATTTTTGTGACAAAATTTTCAGGAACAAATAGCCAACAAATTTGTTGCCCCTGTCATGCATAGTACAGGCAGGCTTGGTTCTGCCATTCACAGTGGCTGTTGTGTGTATGAAGCAGCTGTTGTGGGAGCAGATAGCAGCAGTTCTTCTCCAAGCTTCTTGCATTGCACAGCAGAGGTCAATCCAAGGTATAAAATTAAGCAAGTGTGAATGAGTCTAGCTGTAAACTGATTCATTCAGAATGAAACAGGTGGAAAATATATCCTCTCCTTAGTGGAATGCCAGGGCAGTAAAGGATACAATTAATAAATGTTGCTTTGTTCTCAGCCTCTCCCGATACAAGTTGAAATTCAGTCCAGACAAAGTGGATACAATGATTGTCCAGGCAATCTGTGAGTACATTTGGGTTTTAAATGTTTCAGGATTCTGTGGAGGACAGCTACATATCATGTTAACGTCTTAAAATTTCTACTAACATTATAGTACATCTGGGCAATTTGCCTCAACTAAGCTAAGGTTTTTGCTTGCAAAGGTGCAAGTTGGGTAGTATTGGGAGCCATGGTCCTTTATCCACAAAACAAGTATCCATTGTCAAGCAGTGTTGAATGAAACTGTTTGGCACTTAAAAACCCATACTGTTGTCAATGATGGAATCTTGTTCAACTGAAAATAATGATGTTATTCAGCCTTTCGTCACTACCACTGAGACAACACACGGGAATGCTGGTGTTGAATTAAAAGAAAATGCTGTAGCCTTGGGGCTTAAGTGGAATATATGCAGTAGATGTTTTACCTTGTTGTAATGTAAATAAGAATATAGCTCATCTGCTAACTGAAGAGACACTACATGAAGAAGAGAGCCTCTTTCTTTAGTTCTTGTTTATTGCCATTTTAAATCAGTTCACATGACTCAGTCATCACAGCTAAAAACTTGTTTTCCCCCTATGGACTTACACCTGGCATCTTGACAGCTCAGAATTTTATTGGCTCTCACTTTCATAATTACATTTTTGAAACTTGTGTGATCTTTTCTTGCTGACCTTGGACACAAATTGAGACTTGAATTTAATCTGGAACACAGCTCATTGAAGCCAAGCAAATGCCTGGAAATAGTTTACTGTTCATTTATAGAAGGGGTAGGCAAAATGGTAAATCTGGCTGGTGGCCAGATTCCATTTCCCAGCAGCCCTTGCCTACATGGCTGGGGCTAGTTTCCATGAAAGCCCCACCAGCAGCTGCACTGTGATAGTGTGGGGCCAGGGTTTCCATGGAGACTGGCCCCAGCTGTGCCGGCCAGGGTGTGGAGCTCCTCTGCAGCTGGACTGTGATCTTGCAGTGGTGACAGCGTGGTCCAAACCTGGGACAGAGCTGTGATCTTCAGCCTGTGCACCCCTGCCTAGGGCATACAGGCTGCAGATCACAGCTCTGCCCCAGCTCTGGACCACACTGTCACCGCTCCAAGATCCCAGCCCGGCTGCAGAACAGCTTTGTACCCTTCCAGTAGGGTCAGCATTGGAGGGGGAGTTTAGGGAGGCTATAGTTGCCCCCAAATTCCCCATAGCCACCTCTCCCAGTGGCGCCACTACTGCCCACCCTGCTTCTGCTCGCAGCACAGCCTCCCCCCGGGAAAAGCTGGCCCTGCTGCTGCCTGCCAGCACTGCTGGGGTTGGTCTCCATGGAAGCCCTGGCCCTGCACTATAGCAGAGTGGCTACTGCTGGGGTCTTCATGGAAGCCTGCCCCAGTGATATGGGCAGGGGCTGCTGGGAAATAGAGTTCGCTACTGGCTAGATCTGGCCAGCAGGCCAAACTTTTCCCACCCCTGATTTATAGTGACTTGAACATTGTATGATACCCCTCCACTGTTTTGTATCTATCTCTGGTTGTACAGTATATTACATAAGAAGGGCCCAAGTCCTCCTCTGAGCCTCAAGGTGCCACTATAATTTATATATCAAGTAGTGGAAGAGGGTAGCTGTTGGCAGTTGTCCTTTTTTTTCCAAAGCAGATCGTTACGGTTTACACCTGAGGTGGTTCTAGTCTATCCTCTTGAATGCCTGACTGACTGTTTCCAGACAAGGAAAGGAGGAGCAAAATTTTCAGTGTGGCTGCTGCCGCCACCACCATTGGGGAGATGCATCGTAGGCTACATAGAAAAAACGTGTCATTTGCATGACAAGTCCCTGCAATAGGCAAGGATTTTTGTGAGTGATATTGGACCAACTGCGTGGTTGGGATATTTAGACAAGCTTTCAAATGCAAGGCATTCTTCATTGGGTCAGCTGCCTGCCTTCTATTCAAAAGTTTGTCTTTCCACAAAAATCCTTGCCTCTTGCATAATTCTTCTGATTATCACAACTACAACATCACTCTACCACCACCAAGTCCTTGTGATTAAAAAGTAATAAAAATTATTATCTTTGTGATCATTTGTTCTCAGAAGTATAAAACTAAGGCACAGCAGGACAGGCTAAGAATAGAATGCAGTTCATAATTCTGAATTCCCATTTGCACATTTAAATGGAACTCTTTCTAGGTGAAGTGTGCCAAGCCCATTAACACTAGTTAAACTTTTCAAAAAGTCTTTCAGAGTAGCTTTGTGTGTAACAGTGTAGTGCACATTGCCCAATAAAATTAATCTTAGAAAAAAGTACCTGATTCCAGTAGTATAATTTATCTGAAGATGAAAGGCAAATGAAGTAATTCTTGGGAATTTTTCCTTGTTCCTACAATTGCAGCTTCCTTTTCACAAACTGACATCTTACCTTGGCTGGCATGGCAGCCCTACCTTTAAATGTGCTTGATTGTTTTCAGTTGCTTAAAATTTTGCCAAACATGCTACTTAGGATGAAACATTGGTCCTTCCTGAGATGAGGCCAGTGAAAAATATTGTGGATTTTTTCCCTTCCCTTACTTGAGAAGGTTCTGGTAGTCTTCGTTTCTTTTGAGTAGTTTACTGCTTTTTGGGTTGGACTTGGCATGCAGAATTTGGCAGGAAGATGATTCTTTATGTCACTGGTAACTTCTGCTATACCAAAAAAAATCCACCAAATGTTGCCAGTTTTAAGACTTTGAAAAATACATTTTCCATGTACTTGGTAGAGCTGTTGCAGGCAATAAACACTTGATTCACTAGAGCTCTCTTTCGTCTCTAGTGCACAGAATAGAGCCTAGGTTTCAAATCCTTGTTGACATCAAAGGAACCGTCTAATTGAAACTCTGGTTAAGTGTGCCCCACTTCCCTTTGCTGTTGGCAGCATGCAAATTTGGTTGCTCTGCTCTCTCAATTGGCTAAGATATTTACTGGATGGCCAGCAGGTTGGAATATTTGTCACATGATTCCTGTACTTTCAGTGTGCTATTTGAAAATCTAGTAAATTAAATACAAAAATTACATTAAATCAGCATTATTAAGGTTGCAGAAAAAAGCGGTAAGGAGTTAGGACAGGCCAGATTTACAGCTGTCAGTGCAGTCTTAACAGCCACCACTGTTTCATTCCATGAGATCCATGTGTTTTGTGATGCACAGTGCCCAGCTTTGACCTAGAGCTGTGTAGTAAGGAGGCCAAAGAACCCTTCTGTCTCACTGGTTGCAGAAGATGGAAGGTATGCAGTGAATGAAGCAGAAAAAAATATGATGTCATGGTTAAAGCAGTGAAATGCTTCCTTGAAAACTGGATTTTACTGTGACCAGCTTAAGCTTTGTGTTGCTAGTCAAGATCCTTAACCAAACTCTTTATCTATCAGGGTTGGGTATTTCTTATTTTCTGTCCTCTGGATCGAGACCTTACGTTCTCATTGGCAGAACACTGGTGTGCTCTTGACTGCAACTAAAGCTTTATTTGGACTGTGTAAAATACTGTATAGTGCTGTATATGCTTAGAAAGATCAGGTGCTATACACCTCCAAAACTGGTGGATCTTGGTTTTTGGCCATAAATTAATTGACCATAAATTAAATTACCTATCTGTAAAATGGGTAGTAGTCTGCTCTCACTTCATAGATTTGCTTGGAAATTAAGGCACTACTTGTGAAGCACTCAGCTATTCTGTGGCACTCTGCCATTTAAAGATAGAATATACACTGTTTTCAGAGCAGGGTTTGAATTGAATACTGCTAAGATATGGGGAAACACCAAAGAATGAGAAGAAAACAAAATACTGACTACTGGTTTGTTGAAGGGAGTACCACCCATCTTCTGTGCTGAGTAAGGCAAGGGTCCTGTGGAAATAGTGTGAGATCATGTCACGAAGGAGAGTTTTATCATGCATGTGCCTGTCCAGCTTCAAATCCATCATTTCCAAACATTTGAGTGCAACCTGAGTAATGTTCTTTTAGCATAGCTCTTTGCATGCAGTTTGACTGGTTAAAATACGTTTCTTCTGGAAGATTCCGAAGTGATTTAAAAATTGTTGAGTAGTGTTGACCAATCTTAAAATTGCAGTTTTTCATATCAGAGAAGTGCTGTGAAACTCCTTTATTTCAGAGCTATTGACTTGAATTGCCATGTTCCTTTAACTGTTTTTTTTTTTTTTTTAAACCATGTCTGTTCTTTTGTCTTCCGCAGCCCTTCTTGATGATCTGGATAAAGAGCTGAATAACTATATCATGCGGTGTAGGGAATGGTATGGCTGGCACTTCCCTGAACTGGGCAAGATCATTACAGATAACTTAACATACTGTAAATGTGTGCAGAAAGTCGGTGAGTAATGCTGATCTTGTGTGGTTGAACACTGAGCATTAGTACAGACCACAACGTAATAGTGCCATGTGGATCAGCTAATCTGTTATTCACTGCTTATGTACACCAGTCCTACTGTTCTTGATCACATCTGCTCCAGTGACAACTTAAGCAATGGCTTTTATATGGTTTTCCTTCCCTCCCCCCTCCCACTTTGATGCAATTTAGTGGTACAGAAACAAGGAAGGACTAATAGATTCATAGGTGTTAGGGTTGGAAGGGACCTCAATAGATCATTGAGTCTGACCCCCTGCATAGACAGGAAACAATGCTGGGTTCAGACTACCCTAGCCAGATGCCCATCCAACCTCCTCTTGAAGACCCCCAGGGTAGGGGAGAGCACCACCTCCCTTGGGAGCGCATTCCATACCTTGGCCACCTTAGCTGTGAAGAAGTTCCTCCTAATGTCCTGTCTAAATCTGCTCTCTGCTAGCTTATGGCCATTATTTCTTGTGACCCCTCAGGGGTGCCTTGGTGAGTAGAGCCTCACCAGTTCCCTTCTGCGCCCCCATGATGAATTTATAGGCAGCCACAAGGTTGCCTTTCAACCTTCTTTTGCAGAGAATACCACGTGACTTGCCAGCTTTCCACAGACTACCAGCAAGTCCCCTTTAGATCACCATAAGTTGATAGACCACACTTTGAGAATGAACTGGCTAAAACTGATAAAAGCTGAGCTGGCTCTTTGTGGGTGTTCACTGAGACCACAGCTGGTTATATTTATTCCTTGGAGCAGAAGTAATGGTTGCTTTACTCTTGTGGACACTTGCTTTGCAACTTATAACCATTTTTTATTAATTTTTATGGCAGTGTGGCAGGTTTGCAGTACAGAGAAAAACTTGTGGCTTCAAGAGACTTTTATGTAGTGTATCTGAGTAAAATAAAGTAGAATGGGTTAGTGGTAAACTGACTTAACTCTTCCTGGAATTTTCCTTTTGTCTGGTGGGTCTAGAGCAGGGGTGGGCAATTATTTCAGCTGAAGGGCTGCTTACTAAGTTTTGGTGAGTTGACAAGGGCTGCAAAGGTAGCCTCACCCCTTGACATGCCCTGCTCCTGGTTCCATCTTGGGACCAGAAGTCCCACCCTCTAACCCCTGACCTTTGCCACCAGAAGTCCCTCGCCTTACCCAGAAGTACCACTTTTGGGAAGCGGGGGAGGGTTGCCATCTTGGAACTGGAAAAAACAGCAAATCATATGCAAAAAATCAAACATCTACTATAACGTTTTAATTTAATTTCAGAAAATATTTTTGTCCCAATTAACATGTATTTGCATAGTGTAGATAGAGGAGTTTTGATTGCCTACTAGCTCAAAAATATACAAGAGTAAGATTTTATTGTGTGTGGTGGGATATGTGTGTGTGTGGCTGCATGTATAGGAGGGTGGAGGGGGGCATGAGCAAGTGTGGTGTGTGGACAGGTGTGGTTGTGAAGGGTGTGCACACATACACATCCCCCCCTGCATGGTGCGCAGCCCCTGCTGCCAACGGCAGGAGGAATCACCAGGCCCTCTGTGCGCTCATGGGCCATGCAGGTGACAGCACACAGCTCCGGCCCCTTGCAGGAACTGCACGTGGTGGCAGGAAGTGGGGCCAGGCTACCCCACCTCCATTGCACAAGGCTCCCCATATCTCACATGCAGTTCCCAGGACCTGGCCAGAGGTGCCACACAGGGGGAGCCCCATGTAGTGGAGCTAGTGGCCTGGCCTAGCTCCGTTGCATGGGGCTCCGCGCAACTTCCAGCAGAGTCCCGGAACCTGCAGGGAGCAGCAAAGGCCACCAGCTTCATCGCATGGGGCTTCATTGCCGCAAATGATTCCCTACTTGGTGCCCAGAGCACTGCAGCAGGACCCTGATGACGAAACAGGGAAGCTGAAGTGTTCCGTCCCCTGCCCCCACCCGCAGTAGTGGCCTCACCAGGAAGCTGTGTGCTGGCCGGGGCTCTCCCCTGCACAAGGGTGGGAGTGCAGTGCTCTGCCCCAGCGGGAGTGGGTGGGGCTCGGGCCTCATGTGAGTGCAGCAGGGGCAGCTGCCAGCCAGGCAGGATACAGTTAATTGGTGGGCACCCACCCACAGGCTGGATGAAATCTCCTGGGGGGCCAGATGTTGTCCACGAGCGATATTTTGCTCACCCCTTGTTCAGAGCTTGAGCCCATATCTTAAAATGGTGAAGTATGTCATTTTGGGTGATCTTTAATCCTGGTGCCAGTTTGTTCACTTGATTATACTTTGTAATCATTTAATAATTCTGTGGCAAAAAGATAATTTAGCCTTTCACTATCTGCTAGCTTTTTAAGGTAGTTACAAAGTTAATGAGTGTATTAAATCATTACAGATAGGCATTTCAATTTGAACTAGTTTTGTTGGTCTACCGGCTGATTTAAACATAATGAATTAAGAAAAAATGTGGTAGGCTTGGTTCCATATTGGTGCTCTTGAATCTTGGCTTTTTACACTCCCTCTCTTTTGTTATTTACTTGTTCGTCGTCTTTGCCTGGTATCAATCTCACCCTGCAGGAGACAGAAAAAACTTTTCTTCCTCTGACCTCTCTGACATCTTGCCTGAGGAGATTGAGGTGGATGTGAAGGCTGCTGCAGAGATCTCCATGGGGACAGAAGTATCAGAAGAAGACATAAGCAATATACTGCATCTCTGTGAGCAGGTACATAGGCATGGACAGTATTTAGCATCGTATTTGTAGTTTGAATCTAAAGTGTGTGATACTGGGGGCCCCTCTTCTGTAGATTTTTCTATAACAATTTCAGTACACTTTTTTGATGGCAGTGATGATACCTATACTGTTGCTATCCTGATGTACAGATATGAGGGTGCACAGTCACTACCTCATCTGATGCCATCTTAGATTGCTGACATTTCTAAATGAATTGGAGTCCGTTGGGTGTGATTTTTGGGCAGAAGTATTAATTTAATATTTCTTAAAGTGCTTTAAGATCCATAGAAGAAACTACCACATTTTTAGTTATACATAGCTTTTCAACTGACAGTATCATGTATTGCAAAAGTGTGATGGTAGTTCCATTTTTGTAGGATGAAAATAGAGGCCAAGGGCCCAGTCTTGCTCGAATTCAGGTCAGATGTAAAATTCAATTGAGTACTGCTAAGTCCCCCTTCATAGTCTAGGGTGCTGTTGCATGACACAATTATTCTGGAGTAATTTATCCTCTACTTTAGCATAACTAGGGTGAAAGGTGAAACAGCATTTCCCCTGGAGAAATGGTTGTGTTTTATGTTCTGCTCCACATTCCTCCAGAATTATTTGAGTGTACACTGGAATAAGTTTAATATGTGTTTTTACTACTTTATCAAAGTCAATTCAAGGAATCAAAAGGTTGAGAATATTAATAGTAAGCTCTTTGCTCATAGTCCTGTTTGTGGTTCTCTGGACAACGCTACCTGCTCTTCTAATTTTTTTAATCAAATCATTCTTCAGGGTGAGATTTGATATCAGGGAGAATAGATGAGCAAGTAAGTGAAAAAGCAGAGAGGGAATGTGAAAAGACAAGATTCAGGAACATTCATACAGAAACATGCCTTCTGTTTTCTTCTTTCTAAATTCCTCATGGTCATGTTCCTTATGCTCTTTTCAGGGGTGTGAGTAGGTATGTGTGAATGGACCATAGTTGGAGTGAAGAGCATTTATCTAGCACCAAGAGACATCTCCCTTTAAAACTGAATAATTTGGGTTTTGTACTACAGAAAATTCTCTTCATTAAGCTTTCATTACTGTCCTTGGCCCTCTGTCAGTCCGTTATCAGGAGTTTTAATGAGAAAATGAGTTATATAAAGAACCTAGTGTGTAGGATTTCAGCCTGTCATTCATGTCTGTCTTTTTGCAAAGTTGCTTCTATAAAGCATTCCACTAACTCTCCTTCCTGAATTGCTGGGCATTTCATACCCTGTTGTGTGGCCCAACATGTTTATTTAATTATCTAGAGCCTCTTTTATCAGAATCCTCCATTCTTTTGCTTTTGACAGAGTTCTTAATGCAGGGGTGTCAAACATATATGGCTTGCGGAGCCCTACCATCTGGCCCCTGATGCTCCCCCTGGTTCTTATCAGACCCATCCAAGGCACAGCATATGCTCATGGCACAGGACTAGTCCACAGGCCAAATGTGGTCCATGGGCTCCCTCCCTCTCCCCCAGCATACTTGATCCAGTGACTGCTCCAGCTTGTCTGGGAGCCATGCTGCGTGCAGCATGGATTCTGGAGTGGTCAGGCTGTACTGCACATGGTGCCTGCTTTGGGATGCATTCTGCATGTGGTGCCTGCCCCAGCCAGTCTAGGACCTGTGCTAAGCACAGCACTTGCAAGCACACGTGAGTCCCAGACTGGCTGGAGCAGGCACTACACACAGCACAGTCCTGGAGCTGCCAGAGCAGGCACCAGTTGCAGAGCAATCTGGCTGGGGTTGCTACTGCATGTAATGTTGCTGCTGCTGTGGCCAAACTGCTGCATGCAGCACCCTTTCCAGCTGCTCCAGGATTTGCAGTGCAGGTTCCAGACTGGCTGGGAAAGCCACTAGATCAGCTATTTCTGGGGAAGAGGATGGGGAGGGGTCTATGGGCCCAATCCGGCCCCACACAATTCAGCCAGCCCACGGGGTCAGGTAGGTTTGACACCGCTGTCCTAATGCTCTTGCAGTTGCTTGTTTGTTGCTATATCCTGTTGCTGATTTTCCCGTGTGTCTGTGCCAGGTGATTGAAATCTCAGAGTACCGTACACAGCTGTATGACTATCTGAAGAACAGAATGATGGCCATTGCACCTAACCTCACTGTCATGGTTGGGGAATTGGTTGGAGCAAGGCTTATTGCACATGCAGGTAGGTTGCCACGTGTTGATTCAAGTAAATTTGTAAGTTAGATATGAATTAGCTTCAAGAAAGAAGTCAAGCAACCGCTCTTGCTAAGGATCTGGTCAGTGGAAAGCATTGTAGGACTTTGCTGTTAAGTCTCTTAAGAAAAGGCAGAAGATGTTGGCATGAGCACAGAAGTTGTCAGTGATGATATCTGTTTCAGTTGGCCTGAATCTTTTTTGAAAACATGAGGGGCAACTTCAGTCACTACCTCTTCTGAGACGCTTTCTGAGCCTGTTGCCAATGGTTCAGCCATGTCAGAGTTAAAATATTATATTAGAAGGTTGGGTATAAGTTTGTGTGGTCAGACAGATTGACTTGAGTTATCCTTCTCTCACGTTTCTAAGGTGCTAGTGTCAGCATTCTTACTGCAGAGTGTTGTCGGTACAAAACATTAATCCTGTGGACTGGTTTGTGTTGAGACGATCTTTCCTTCCCCATCAAGCTGAGAAATACAGAATTTGTGTAAGGAGCAGAGGATCAGTGGAATTTTCTCCTCTCAGGAGACTTGTAAATCAGCCCAGAAAACCATGGCCATCAAAGCTTGAAATTTGTCTCCTTTTCAGTCATATTTTAGTGTCTATTATGTGTGTCTCCCTCTTTAGACTGGTTGTATTCCAGTATGCTGTAACTTTTTCTGCCCTAGGTTCCCTTTTGAATCTGGCGAAACACCCAGCTTCCACTGTTCAGATTCTGGGTGCTGAGAAAGCACTCTTCCGAGCCTTGAAGTCTAAGCGAGACACACCCAAGTTTGGCCTCATCTATCATGCTTCCCTTGTGGGTCAAACAACACCCAAGAATAAAGGAAAGGTGAGTTCCTGGGATGTTCCATCTTGTTAATTGGCTTTTTTTCCCTTGAACAGATGAATATCTCCAAAGATTAAGGATCAACTTTTTAAGAATTCTAAGGAGGATTTTTCCATGGTTAGCTATAGCTTCTTTCATGAGTAGACCATCCCCTGCAGATCAGGTTGTTCAGTCAGCTGCCATTCATTCCTCTTTTGTGGGAATAAAGGGAATTGGGTTGTCAATGTGGAAGACTGAGTAATGATGGTGATGGATATATTACTGGTAGGGATGTCCATGGGTGAATCTAGGATTTTGGAAAGGGTATAAATGGTATGGTGCAATATCATATATAAACAGCACACATTTTTCTCCAGTTAGAGAAACTAGAAGCTTTACTAATGAGAGCTGTGGGCATAGCTCTGTATTATTTTTTTAAGATCAAAGCAAAAATAAATATAACTTTTTATTGGAATGTTCACTAAGTTCTTAGATTATGTATTAAGTTTAAAAACACAGGAAAGTAGGCAAAAAATGGTCAAAAGTCAAGAGTTCATTAGTCCTGTAGTCATTATGATTAAATGTACATCTCATATTCACATTTGTAAAGCAAAATCTAGTCTTCTTGAACATCTTGACCGCACTTCCAATACTTCACTGACTGTCATTTCTACACATGAATTAAGGTTTTTAGCTAGTACTCAAAACAGTCTACAGGGCTGTGAAATAGAATAGTGACATTACAAGCAGCAAAACTGTAGATGAAAGGATAGTTTGATTAGTGAAACATTAAGACCATTAAAAAGAATAGAGGGTCATTAACAACAGCTCTGGAATGAAGAGCCAAGGGCAGGAACTGGGGAGAGTATAATGAGCCAATAATTCAGTTGACTTCATTGGTGCCTGAATAAAAATGCCACTACCCCTCCCAGGCAATTGGTTTAAAGTTTGGGTGAAGCAAGAATCAAAGGAGGGTGCAGCTACACCACTGTACTCCCTCCTTGATCCTCCCCTCAGTGGGCGCGTCTATGTGACGTAGCATCCATGGGGAAAAACCATGATGCTGCAGCTACATTACCATAATGACGCAGTCCCTCAGTATAGTGCCTCACTAGGCTGATGTAGCAGTTAAAAATAACCACACGCGATACACACAGGTCAGTATGGGATGTTGCTGCACCATCATTTAGTACTAAATGACAGTGCAGTAACAACAGCACTATAGGGACATGTGTAGATTTGCCCACTATGTCATAATCAGAACTGAGTAACAAACAATACCGAAGAAATTTAATATAAAATAAGCTGGTGAGAGCATTTGGCTTCCTCGATTTCAGAGGAAATCCTTGAAATCAGACCCCTACTCTTACTGGAGCTCGCTGCTTATATTTATAGGACACAAGGAATTTAAAGGTGTTTTTAATAATACAGTAGTGGGAAGGATGTGTTCACATAGTGGAAAAAGTTATTCAGTGTCATATTTGAAAGGCAAATTGTGCATTTAAATGCTAAGTTAGGACATACTGAATGCGGTAAACTCTTTCTAGTCAGGTTGCCTTGATCTGAATGAGGTGGATGATGACCAATTACCTTATCAGGGATCTCAGCACACAAGTAAAGGTCACATGGGAAGTATCGTGTGTTTTCTTGGACAAAGCACTGCTGCTTAAGGGGCAGTCTAGTCTTCTATTTGCTGGCAAGATTTCCAGATCTGTGTTCAGAGTGAATTATCACCTAGTGTTCAGTCTCAGCATTTAACATTCTCTTTTTTCCCCCCCCAGATCTCTCGAATGCTAGCAGCCAAAACAGCCTTGTCTATTCGGTATGATGCCCTTGGAGAGGACAGCAGTGCTGAACTGGGAGCTGAGAACAGATTAAAAGTAGAGACCAGAATGAGACAGTTAGAAGAGAAGGGGGTGAGTCTGGGATGCCAGGATTGTAAGGAAAACTACATTAAAGCTGCCTGTGTGCAGATTGTGGTTCTTCAGATAAACTCCAAATGTGTTCCCTGTGTAAGACTAGTATATTGCTTTGTAAAGTTTTACCCTGAAGTACTGGCTGGAGCAGGTGGGGAATTTCAAATTGGCCCCATTCTTTTCTTTGTTTTAGCTTTTCTTTATCTATACTTAGATGCATTGGAAGGCTTTATTTCTTAGCAAGAGAGGAAGTGAGACACCCTTACATTACACTGCATCACTCCTCTATTAAGAACCTGCAAAGGGCAGCTTGATGGTCTGTGGCATCTTTTATTTCAAGGAAGGAGGCTCCTTGGAGCTTGAGGACCTTTTCATCAAGTGTTTCCCACTTGGCTTCTCCTATCTCTAAGCATCTTCTGTTGTGCTCAGCCATACTTAGTCTTCATGCCTCTGGAGCCAATAAACAGTGCAGCTCTTGCCCAAAGAAGACATGCAGTCCTCTACTGAGCACTAATCACCTTTCTTCTGAGCAGTAATCTTCCACCACCGAGCACTAATCACCTTGCTTCACATTATTATTGCACCTTGGGAAGAAAAACCTGCAGCATCCTTATAGGCTCGGCAGTGCTACGCTGGCTAGCACTATGGAAGAAAGAGACTTGGGGGTCATCATTGACCACAAAATGAACATGAGCTTGCAATGCGATGCTGTGGCTACTAAAGCGACCAAAACGCTGGCTTGCATCCATAGATGCTTCTCAAGCAAATCCCGGGACGTCATTCTCCCCTTGTACTCGGCCTTGGTGAGGCCGCAGCTGGAGTACTCCACAATTCAAAAAGGATGTGGAAAAGCTTGAGAGAGTCCAGAGAAGACCCACGCGCATGATCAGAGGTCAGGAAAACAGACCTTATGACAACAGGCTGAGAGCCACGGGGCTCTTTAGCCTGGAAAAAGGCAGGCTCAGGGGTGACCTGATGGCCACCTATAAGTTTATCAGGGGTGACCACCAGTATCTGGGGGAACGTTTGTTCACCAGAGCACCCCAAGGGATGACAAGGTCGAACGGTCATAAACTATTACAAGACCGTTTCAGGCTGGACCTAAGGAAGAATTTCTTTACTGTC